CAAAGGCAAAATTGGGGCTGATAAGCTGATAAGAGGAAACATTGCGTTTAATGGTTTCCAGATGATGAGAACAATGTACGTGAAAGTGTGAGATTCATAGAAAAGTTTTCCTAAGAATATTTCCAATCCTTTTCTCACACAAGAGAAAATGGGTTAGGGGGCGTTGGGTATAACTTTATGGAACAAAGGGGGCGGTGGATCGAAAAAGTTTGAGAATCACTGCACTAGATCGTCAGCGTACGTCAGTATATTCTCTTTTGGTATATATAAGGTATATACCAAAAGAGATATATAAGGTTCAATCCTGGGTCCACCGCTTTTCAATATATATATATATTGAAAAGATTGAACCTCGAGGAACGCCCTTGTTTGGCCTGAAAGAACTGGAGATAATCTGTCCAATTTTTACAAAGTAAATTCTGTTTGACAAGTATGATTTTAACTAGCTTAGAGCAGTCCCTCTTAGACCAACAGTTTGCAATTTTTAATACAAAATTTCATGATTTAAGCTATCGAATGCCTTTGAAAGGTCCACAAAAACTGATATTGCTATTTTCGATTTGTCGAGTTGTGACGTTATTGATTGTTTCAAATGCAACAAAGCATCTACCATCGAAAATCCTCGTTTATAAGCGTATTGGTTTCTGTGAATAACCTGGAATCTGTCTATAAAAGTTGAAAATCTCTTGTAAAAAATCTTCTCGAAAATTTTAGCCAACACCGACACTATTATTATGGGGCGATAATTTTCAATTTCACTTTTTGATCCTTTTTTATATAATGGCAAAACTAAGTTTTGATTTAGTTTTTCCGGAAAGTAACCATTTTCAAAAGATTTATTTATCAGATACGATAATGGTTGAGCTAAAATATCAGATATGTGTTTTAAGATTTCAATATTTAAAAAACTGATGTCTGGAGTGCTGTTTTTCAAACCTTCTATAGTATTATAGACTTCTAAGGCTGTTGTGTTTTCCAAAAAGAAAGTATTAGAAATACTAACATTTGTTCTATGTTGCTCCGAATTGATATTGTTCTATGTTATTCCGAATTGATAGTGTTAAACCATCTGGCTCCGATTCCGACCACTCTGACCATAGAAATTATTACGCTTCAAACAGGGTGAACGAAATCATGCCCCCCACACAGTCTAACATCCACACATATAGAAAAAAACCTCGAATCTTTTGCGTATCTCGAAATTTCAAGGTGTCCCGAGTCCAAAAATGTAAAAATTTGGGAGGGGTCATTTTTTGAGTGAGCGCTACACTTTTCTCTGTTATATATAACAGCCGGAAAAGTAAAAATGATCGAATACATATTTATATATTACTTACAGAAGTCTTTTAGCTTTGGAATAAAAAGTTTCTACACACTATCTTTATTACAACTCTATTTATTGAATATTTTATTCTGAGGTCACGTGATGACGTCAGAATTTCCGAGTCTCTTTCAGTAACAAGTCTGCCCCTAGTCGGAGTCGGAGTCGGTAGATTTTTACGCGACTCCACAGCCCCGCTGTTATCAATTGGCGTTTGGAACGTCGAGCATGATTCTACTGACGTTCCAAACGCCATTGTCAAACTTCTAGGCTTACAGGGTGGTGGCGTTGAACGTCAGACGTACACATTTTCGCGTTGAAAACGTCGGCCGCAACCTCTCTAATAAACAATATTGTGAGTGCGATCGTTCCCCTTCGTGGAAAATCGCGAAGAATCTATAAACTTGTTTTAAACAAGCAGCAATGAACTTTAATTTGTTATAATTAAACATGCGAGTTTCATATTAATATAGTAAAATTGAACTTTTATGATCATTATTCTACAGATTTTGTACCGTTTAAAAAAATTCATGATTTTTTTTTTTAATTTACACACAAGCAGAAGCTTAGGGCCTCACGTTTTATGATTCCATGGTTTAGGGCCTTACATTTTTGCATGTATTATTATTTGGTGGAGGCGAAAGGCCTGTTATATACGTTACAGCTTAGGGCCATATATGCCTAAGTCCAGTATTGTGTACTTATCTATATATCAACATAAGTAGGCCCTATATGTCTGTATATAGGTTTATATATATAGTTTTTTATAAATTGTGTGTGTGATAACAAGGAAACATTACAGAATTCACAGGAAGAAAACCGGAAAGAGTCCATTTTTTACATCTGGCTTCATCCTCCCACCAATGCTTCAAGTGTTTAACAATGGAAACGTTTCCTTTACTTTGCAATTTTTCGCATAGAGAACACATCCAAGGATGTAAAACGATTTCGTAATGGTTCTTCCAACTAAAAAACGAATGATACAAGCTTTTATTTTCAGATATTTTCCATAAATATGAAGCCAAATCTACTGGATTTGGATAATTCATAGCGTTTATATAAGAATCCGGTGGAGCAATTGTTGAGTAATATTCTCCATCTCCCATAACAATTGGTATTATATCATATCTTAAAATTTGATAAAATTTTTCCGTTACGTAATGCTTACAGATTGCATTTTCAAACGAAAGATAGAATTTATATTTCTTCATTTTCTTGTAACAGCGAGCTGAATTTGCGGGTCGACACGCTTCTTTACCACATCCTCCTATGATGTCTATGGGAAAAAATTCTCTTAACAATTGAACGTATTCCTCTCTTCCACTTTGCGTGCAACAATTGCTGACGTACCACAATGCTGCATTCTTTCTCCCTTCCCAAATCGTTAATACTGGCGTGTGTCTGTCCGTTCTCTTTTTAATTCCGTACTTAACTACCACATCCGAATCTTGTCTATAGGTCATGGTCCAATTGAATACGTTATTCAATTTTTTTAAGTCGACGAGTTCTAACCAGGGTGGTTCTAGCGTATAGAAGATCCAAATTTGATCTGATCGACGATTGATTGATATCGCTTCCATTTCGATATCCCTAGCATGAAATAACACAGCATCTGATACGTTTAAATTGTTTTTATTCCTAGTAACACGGCAATTATTTACTATACAACCGTTATCAACGAAGGGATTACTCAGTTTATCGAAGTAATAGTAACTTTTAGACCAATCTTTACCATAATATTTCGTTGCTAAATATATTAACTTCGGTGTATTTTTTTTCTGATTAAATTCCGAAATATTTTGTACTATAAATTCTTTTTGTCGTTCGAAAGATATCGGAAATTGGAACTGAGTTAAC